GTACAGACTCTCTAATGAACTCTTGTACAGGGACAGTATAAAAGAAGGAACTAACGAAGGGTGTGAGCACTTACTTTGCCGCTGCAACATGTTTGTCCAGATGTTGACAGACTACGGTGAAGATTTCGTCGACTGTGCCATCTGCTTTGATCTAAAACAGTAGAATGCCGAGCAGTAGGGTAACAGAGAACACAAAACCAACGGACCCTGATCAGCTTCTTCTTCTTTTCATAATAGCTAACCACTGGTGCGGTGGCGGTGGTGAAGGTTTTCAAACGCTTCTTGATAGTCTCCATATTATCATCAGCACGTCCACTGAAACTTATAATTCGTGGTAAAAAGTGGATAACTACATTATCAGAGCAAGATACCTGGTCTTTGCCCTTCCCAGAAGTCTTTTCACGAGGATGTCTTCCGACACATCGAAAAAGATGACACTTTTTGCCTCTTGGATCTGAATGAATGAAGTATAAGCATAAGCAAGCAACGGCGCAAATGTAGTTGGGGGGGGGGGGAAATAACTCAGCCGCGCCCCTGTATTTCGTCCTCAAAAGCTTACGCCTAGAGTGCATACGACCAGAGCCGCCCAGAGATAGTCTTGCCGAGAAGACATAATCTCCACTAAGCGTAAGCCTTGATTACGTGAAAGGAACACAAGAGAGCTGCCTAAGAGTCCCCTCTCTCCGCTACACTGTCTAACCTAGAGCCGGAGTGGGCGTGGCTGCGTTCTTCGGAAGTTGCGACGGCCAACCTTTATTCGGGTGCTGCTTCGGGACATTGATGATCATGTCCTTGCCCATCATGACAGCTGTCTCACATAGAAACATCCCGTGGACAACGCATCGCACGCTATCCTCAGTGTAGTACGCAGCCACGTCCTCTCCATCTCCAAGATATGATGGACACGCTAGTGCCCAAACATCATCGCAGTTGAAGCTATCAAGGTTTAGCCGAGAGAGTAGTGCGCAACGACAGTCTTCGTCGGGATGGTTTTAATAAGTTGCAAAACGATATTGATTGGTTCGTTCAACTACCCGCACGCGTGACTGGCTTGCACTAGCCGTCTCAATGGCATGTAAGAGGATTATGAGCTGTGTCAATCTTGCCTCACGCTCAAATTGCTCTCCCTGCTTCACGTCACGTGGATAGCCATCGATTAAAAATCCTTTCGAGCCTTTGGCAACTTCTTTGAGCATGGCTTCCTTTACTAAATCCAACACGACCTCCTGAAAAAGCGGGTGAAAAATCTAGTACATAATAAAGGGACAATTCAAGATAATCTACTTACTAGTGGGACCAATTCGCCGGCCTTCATGATCTTATCGAGTTTCGCACCTCTCGGTAAGCCAGATTTGACCTGAAAGGATAATTTTTAATGAAACTATAGGCCACAGTGCTCATAGAGGAGAAAAAGCTCCTGTGCTAGAAGAACGCTTGTTTCGTTGCGATACAGTGTCAAGTGTTTTCTGGACCTTTTAGCCAGCCCTCCTTTGGGATCTGTCACTCACCAGCTCATCTGAGGCTCGAACAATAGAAGAAAAAAAAATGAGAGGGGACCATTCCTAATAACGGCGCGTCTCCAAGATGGTCCACTGACATTTCCAAAGAGCGCTTAAATGTGGAGTTTTTGAATGTGCTATGCTAACAGGTGTGGACGGCGTAAAGGGGTGTAAACCATCGGTCCCGCAATGAAAGCAACCGTAGTACCACCCGTACAAGAGTCAGTAGGAAATAGTATCGTCAATAGAAAACACAGCAACTGACCTCATCTCTAAGAAGATCTCCCGATGAGAGATGTGAAAGACCATATTTCGCAACAATTTTTTCACACTGAGTTCCTTTCCCAGAACCTGGCCCACCTGAAAGGATAAAATTGATTTTCAAAGCAGGACACTTAGGCACAAATTATTCTGATAGATGAAAAGAATTTACCGACGATGAAGAATATGGGGACATTCGCCTTCTTCAACGGAGTAAGATCAATCTTCTTCCTGTCCATCAGCTGAGGCTACAAAGAAACTTACCTACTGAGGTATTTTTAAGGATTCAAAGAAATATGATACTTACAAATCAGTTAGGGCGTAGGAAAACGAGCCTGAAAAGCATACATTATCATACGCAGCGTATTAGCGAGCGGAAAAGCAGAATTCAAGAAGAAAAAAGGACGTGCGACGATGACGTCATCGTACTAGCGCGCGGTTTAACGCTATGTAGAGTAAATGATAGAAAAATAACAATCTTTCTAGAGTAAGAACAGTCAAGTACGAAGTTCCATAAAAGAAAAGCACTGAAGGACAATGTTATTCATTCTTTCTATATTTACCTCTTTTTTGAGTGTATAAGGCGCATTTGCTTGCAAGGCCGCACAGCCGCACGCGACAAAGCGCGCGAAAAATTTCTGGACATAGCGGCGTTTCCGTTCCAAAACGCGGCGTCTCTTTTTGCGAGTCTACACCTCAGCGACTGCAGTCGTCTTTGCTCAAGGCATCAGCCTTGCTTCATTCTTAAGAGCGGCAAGGCA